GACGGGAGATGAACCGCGTGTGTGCGGGTGGGGGGGGTGATTTGGGGCTGGGGGGGCTGTGCACCCCGCTGTCTGCATGCACGACGCGGGTGGGGGCTGCTGAAATCGGGGGGGGGGGGGCTGCGTCACGTGCGTCCTTGTCACGGCCCCCCCCCCGCCCCCTTAGGGACCCCGACAGCGTCGTGCTGTGCGTGTTGGCCACCGACGAGGAGGACGAAGGCGACATCGCCCTGCAGATCCACTTCACGCTGATCCAGGCCTTCTGTTGTGACAATGACATCCACATCGTGCGCGTGGCCGGCATGCGGCGCCTGGCGGCTGTGCTGGGAGAGCCGGCGCCGGGAGCCGAGCCTCGCGATTTGCATTGCCTGTTGGTCACGGTGAGCGCGGGGTGACGCGGGTGCTTCTGAGTCATGTGGGTGTGGGAATGCGGGCCAGGAGCGGCTCCGTGCTGCTGCTGTCGTGCCATCGTTGCATCTCGTGCTGTTGTTGCATCACGGGGATGTCGCTGTGCCGTGATGGCGCCACTGCAGGGCCGTCGTTTGCGGTGCCGCGATGGCGCTGCCACGCTTTGTGCCTTGCAGTCGCTGCGCTTCGTGCCACGGTGCTGCCGTCATCAATTCGTGGTGCCGCGGCGACGCCGTCACTGTGCCACGTCCCATCGTGCTGTCACATGGCCACCATGCCATCGCCACACCTTGTGCCGTGCTGTCACAGTGCCGTTGCTGTGCCAGAGTCGTGTCATTGTGCCAAGGCACCGCTGTGCCACAGCTGTGCCCCTGTGCTGTGACAGCACCGTGTCCCATCGTGGTGTCACAGTGCCACGATGCCATCACCACGCTTTGTGCTGCGTCCCCCCCTCTGCCATGGCGTCCCTGTGCCATCACCGCTCCATGCAGTCACCAGCCCCTTCCCAGCCATTCACGGTGCCATCTCTATGCTCTCTCTCCCCAGATGCCCCACGCAGACGCCTGGCAGAGCCACGGTTTGGCCGAGGTGGCGAATTACTGCGCCGAGAGCCGCGACCGCAACCAATGGGTGCCGGTGGTGCGGCTGCAGGAGCGCTGAGCGCCGGGACGGAGAGCGGAGCTGCGGGGAGCACAGAGCCGCCCCAGCGCCCCGAGCACAGACAGGGATTTTTCTGTCCAACCGGAGAGGAACGCGGAGCGCCCGGCGCGGCGGTGGCCACAGCTGTGGGGCTGAGCCCGGGGCAGCCGTGGGGCACACAGGTCCCGTTTTGGGGGGGGGTCCCGTTTTGGGGGGTCCCTGTGAGCGCCCGTGCAGCGCTCGGTCCCTTTTGGTGATGGAGGAGGAAGGATTCGGCCGAACTTCATCCTGGGACGGCGCAGCGGTGGTGACATGGATGGACGTGTGACGCTGTTTTTTGGTTTATTTTTGCACTCGAGCCACTGGGGAGACCCTGCCCCGATCCCACCACAGAGTCTATTCTTGTACTGATCGCAGAACAACTTTTGGTTTTATTTCGTTGTTTCTTTTTTCCAATAAATTTTCTAACCTCACTGCTGTCTGTGTTCATCCCTTCCCGCCTCCCCAGTGCAGTGGGTGGAGATTTTAGGGGGGCAGGGGGGCATCCCTGCTGTCTCATTTCCCCCACGGGTGGCTTCGGGGTGGGGATGGAGGAGGGGGGTCCCCACCACAACACAGGGCTGGGAAATCCCACACGGAGGTGCCCCAAGGGATCTCCCACCCACAGCGCCCTCCCACCTGGAATCCCCCCACCCTCAGCACTCCTTCCTGCAGCCCCGGGGGTGTGGGAGAAGGGGCTGCCCGCACCCACAACCCTTCCGGGGTGTTGGCAGCACCTCCTGGAGGAGGGGGACGCCTCCCTGCTGGGGAAATTGAGGCAGTAAGAGGAGCTCGGGGCAGCCTGCAGTGCTCAGGCGTGCAGTGCATGCACCGTACAAATGCATGTGAGCAGTGCACGTGAGGTGCGTGCACGCACCTGACCCCACTGCGGGGACGGGGACGCGGTGTCCCTGCAGGGGACTCAGCAGTGGGGCAGCGATGCCACCGATGGGGACGTTGCCCTCCCCGTCCCGCACGCGGTGTCCCACATTGCAGCGGCGTTGCGGGATGGAGGAGGGGCTGAGCGCCCCCAAACTCATCGCGCCGCTGAGTCAGCGCCACGCGGAGTCCCGGTGACCCCCCGTGCGGGGCGGCCGTTACCGAACCCCGTCATCAACGCGCTGCGTCGGGCAGCGCTGAGTCATCGACCCGACGGGGACCCACAGCGATTCTCCCGCAGCTCCGGGCAGAGCGGTGCGGGACACGGCGGGGATAACAGGGCTGCGAGCGGGGAAACCGAGGCACGGAGCCCCGGAGCTGACGGCAACGGAGCGGCTGCGGGTTCTTGCCGGGCCCCCCCCCCCCCCCCCCCCCCCGCCGCGCCGTCCCCGCTCGGCCCCCGCGGCGGGGGGTGGGCTCCGCAGAAGCATCTCAGCCATCCCAGGCACGCGGTGGCAGCTGCAGCCCGGCCGGCAGCTTCCCGTGGCGCGGCCGCCGTCCAGGAAAGCCGCACACGAAACCCCCCCCCCGGGTCTCAATGCCGGGAAAGGGGGGGCTGAGGAAGGAGGGGAGAGGAGGGGAGGCAGCCGCCCCCATTCCGGAACGGGACGCGGCGGTACGGGGCCGAACCCAACCGGAGCGGTGAGCCGAGGGCAGGAGGTGGTGCGGGGCTGTCGGTGGGGCAGCACCATGACCTGCATCGCAGCGCTGCCCGACTGTTCCAGCACTCCTCCGTTGGGTTCCCACAGTGCCCCCATCCCATCCCATCCCATCCCATCCCATCCCATCCCATCCCATCCCATCCCATCCCATCCCATCCCATCCCACCCCCTCCCATCCCATCCCATCCCATCCCATCCCATCCCATCCCATCCCATCCCATCCCATCCCACCCCATCCATCCCCCCCCCACCCCCACGCTGTATTCAGGACCCGTGGCAAAATGAAAAGTGAGCATTTATTGTGGTATCAATTTCACTTCTGAACGACGGTTCCACGACACTCCACACGGCAGCAGATCTCTATGGCACACAGCAGGAGAACCCCCCCCCCCCTTTCCCCCCCTCCCCATCCACCGACGGCGCTGGACGCCAACGGCAGAGTTTGGCAAACGAGAATCACAGAGCAGAGAGAAATCAAAGAGCGTGGAGTTGGACGGGGATTCTTCCCATGGAGTAAATTCGTTATCTTTAAGTCTTAAAGAGGATTTCATCAGCGCTCCGTGGGGGGAACCCCCCCCTTTTTGTCAGCCCCCCCCCCCCCCCCAGCCCTATTTACGGCTCTGCATGGAGGGCAGCACTGAGAAAGGCCCCAAAATGTGACTTTGTTGTTGTTTTCCTTCTTGGCAATGCAAAGCAGCCCTTGGTCCCTCGCTCCGACCCAGGCGATAGAAAGAAAAAGGGCTGCAGAACCATCAGCGCTCACCCGAGAGATGGGCAAAAAAACCCACAAAGATTAAAAACAAGGGGGGGAAAAAGAAAGGAGTTTGGGGGTTTTGTCACCTCGTGAGGAGACACCGACAGCCCCCCCGCAGCCCCAGCCCTGCCCCACAGCACTGCTGTCACCAATGCACCCCCCAGCACAGCAATGGGGCAGCGGCTCTGTGGGAAGGTGACCAGCGGGTGTGCAGCAGGGATTGGAACCTCAGGGATGCACAGGGACCTATATGGGTCCTACAGACACATATGGGCCCATACGGAACCCCACAGATCCATAGGGACTCACCTGGACCCACATGGGCCCATGGGGACTCACCTGGACCCAGATGGATCCACAGACCCACACAGACCCATATGGACCCATGGACCCACACAGACCTATATGGACTCATATGGACCCATGGACCCACACAGACCTATATGGACTCATATGGACCCATGGACCCATACAGACCTATATGGACTCATATGGACCCAGATGGATCCACAGACCCACACAGACCCATATGGACTCATGTAGACCCATGTGGACCCAAACGGACCCATGGACCCACACAGACCCATATGGACTCATATGGACCCATGGAGACACACAGACCTATATGGACTCATATGGACTCATATGGGCTCATGGACCCACACAGACCCATATGGACTCATATGGACCCATGGACCCATACAGACCTATATGGACTCATATGGACCCAGATGGATCCACAGACCCACACAGACCCATATGGACTCATGTAGACCCATGTGGACCCATATGGGCCCATGGAGCCACACAGACCTATATGGACTCATATGGACCCAAACGGACCCATGGACCCACACAGACCCATATGGACCCATATGGGCCCATGGACCCACACAGACCCATATGGACTCATATGGACCCATGGAGACACACAGACCTATATGGACTCATATGGACTCATATGGGCCCATGGACCCACACAGACCCATATGGACCCATATGGGACCATGGACCCACACAGACCCATATGGACTCATGTAAACCCAAGTGGACCCAAATGGACCCATGGAGCCACACAGACCCATGTGGACTCATATGGACCCATACAGACCCATACAGATCCACAAGGACCCACCTGGACTCACAGACTCATACAGACCCACAGACCCACAAGGACCCATACAGACTCTCCTGGACCCCCCTGGGCAGAGCACTGTTGGCAGGCGTGGGGCAGGCAGGGCTG